AAAAAAAAAAAAAAAAGAATAAACCAGACTTACTGAATCAGGACCTTTGGGATTTAGCTCATGCATAATTTGAACCATTCTCCAAATGATTTTGCCATAACCCCTAGTTAAGAACTGCTGATTTTATAAAATGGAACTATTTTGGTTATCAGGAGGCCTAGATTATACTCTTGATTGCCACTGATTATCCCTGATATTTCTGATCCTCAGTTTCTTTGCCTATAAAATGAAGCTGTATTATATACACTTAGTGGCTGTGAAATAATAAAAAGCAAGATAGCTAAGTGGTTAAAAATAGATGTCATAAAATGTACTAAAACTCATATATTTAACAGAATGCATCACACTTTTTACTTATTCACATATTTTTGTCCAAATACTTTTAAGGAAAAATTTAAGTAAGATACTCTACATACCGTCACATTGACAAGAGAAGACCATTATCAGATTGACAACAAAGAGGATAGGACAGAAAAATGAGAATAACAAAATCATAGCAGTTGTGCAGCCCTGTGGATGATGAAAATTACTCCTGTATATTGTGATAAAAGGTATCACTATTTTGCTGTATGGTGAAAGAACTGATAATATGTGATCATGCTAAGTCATCAATAAAAAAGTTAAACTAGGGGCATCGGTGGATTACCAGTGAAGTATCCAACTCTTTATTTTGGCTCAGGTCATGATCTCATGGTTCATGAGACTGAGCCCTGCATTGGGCTCTGCACCGACAGTGGGATTCTCTTGGGATTTTCTCCCTCTCTCTCTCTCTCTCTCTCTCTTTCTGCTCCTCTCTCTCCACTCTTCCCCTCTCAAAACAAAGAAATAAATAAACATTAAAAGAAAGTTTAACTATGTGAAATTTGTTTGAAAACACAGGGAAACGTATATTTTATAAATATTTCCAAGCTAAGCCACTGGAAAGGGTCAATTATATGTTATTGAAAAGCTCAGCCACTTTAGTGAACCTTTCTTGATTCTGCCTCCTTTCCCCATCTAAAACCAACCAGAGCCAGTTAGATACTATATTTGCTCCCATAACACCCTGGTAAGAAGTTATTATCCATCTATCATTTCACTAACCATATTGTATAATTTATCTGTTGATGTATATTCTATTAGACTGTAAGCCTAACGGAAGAAGTCATGCATTATTCATATTGGTAGACCAAGAAAATAGCATAATACCTGGCACATATTAGATGCTTGGATATGTTTGTTTAAATCAATGAATAAATTCAGA